CCGCTTCGGCTGGATCTAATCTCTTCCACAGCCCAAAAAAAAAAAAAAGGGCTTGGCTTACCAAAAAAACCTAGGCCACGGGGCTTTCCTCCCCTCCCCTTTTTTAGCCAAAAAGGGGTGCTATCTATGATCTTATTTAGATATACAGACCAGATCTCTGAGGAGCTCGGTGGAGCCCTCCTCGGCAACAGGCCACGCCCCCAGGAAGTCCTTTTTAACTGCACAGTATTTAAGTGATTGTATAAAGGAAAATGAAAATGAAATAAAGACAGAATTAAATGTAAAAAAAAGAGATTAACGTCTGTTTAAGTTCCTAGACTTGTTGAAGAACTTGAGCAGTGATGGCAAACCTTTTTTGGCTGCCATGCCAAAAGTGCAGGAAGCACGGGGTTGTGCACCAGCGTGCCACACCCATAATGCTATGCGTGCACACTCCCCAGCGCATACACATGCGTGCAATCAGCAAACTTCCCCCGCTTTTGTTGCAGTTTTTTTGCCTTCCCCAGGCTCCAGAGGCTTTCTAGCGACAGGATAACGCCTCGCATGCCCTGACAAATGGCTCCACGTGCCACCTGTGGCGCACGTGCAATAGGTTCGCCACCATGGAACTTGAGCATCTGCTATTGAAGAAGGTCAAAAATGTTGAGGAAGAACAAAATATGATCAGTTGATACCAACTTCCTTAAATATAAAGTTTTTCATGAGTTTTTTTTTTAATACAAGGCTTAACAAAGACTGGTTGCTTTTCTGTTTTCTTGTAGATGAGTTAAAAAAAACCCTTAATATGAAGGATTTGTGAATGCTGTGACTTTATCAAACAACACAGTACTAAGCTGGATGTAGAATTTATGTGCCCTTTTCACATATCTGCTTTTATCCAGTGGCTAGCTATATTAAGCCTTTGTTGTTTTGCTTAATGCCTTCCACTGCTAACAGTGTATTCAATAGACCAAGAATAAAATTGAAAAATAGTAGGCTGTATCTGATATCAAAAGATGTGGCTTATCCTGAAATAAAGCACTTCGTTTTATATTAAGTTTTTGAATCAGTACAGTATTTAGAACAGACAAGTAGAACAACCAGCTATCTTTTTGCTTTGTTTTCATTCACCTTGTATAGATAGAGGAAAATAAACATAGCTAATGCTGAATTAAAGATATTGCCATTATTAATTGGTTCAAAATATTAATGGAGCACAAATGTATGTATTAATATGATTATAGAATAGTCCATAATGAAAAATAAAAAGGACATGATATATGTCTGTCATACTTTCATAGTAAAGTACCATCCCATATTTCTACAACCTGATTTGGTTTGCAAATTGAAAATGTCTTTAGAAAAAAATAATTTACTTTTTGCTCCTTCCCATTTATTTATTTGGCTGCCTTGACCTGCTTTAGTTTTAAAAGCACTCTGATTGCAATCAATGCCATTCTTTAGATTCAATTTATCTTCCTTGGAAAGAGTTGCAGAAGTAAAGCCTTTTAAATTATTTTAGTTCTAGTACTTCATTATTCATTAATATGCAAAACAGCTACATGAATGCTTTGCAAGGCCTATTGACATGAGCAAAGCAACCATCCCCAAAGAGCTGAATCAGACAAACCATTCACAAGACTCAGCATAACTAGTTGTCTTCATGGGGCTGCCCATGAAATGAAGGAGCTGCAAATCCCCATGCCAATAGAGATGCTCTGGGAAAGTCCTCCAAGCAGTGGTGCTAAGTTGCCAGAGAACATGCTTGGTTCACCACCTCAAGGAGTGAGGAACTTTGTTTCTGTACACAAGTAGTCCTTCAGATGCTTTGGGCAAACGTATTGACTCATAAGTTAGTAGTAGCTCATCAGCTGATAGAGAGTATTTTTTTGCCTTTAAGGGGTATCATGCTTATATCTGGCCCGCAGGGATGCCCTGGAAACAGTTAAGGGCTGGCCCATGGTTTCTCTACCAACAAAAATAGATCTTTATTTTCAACCATCACAAACTCCTGCAGCCCTCTGGCAGCAAAAATGGAGCTGAGGGGGAGCACACAATGGGCTGCAGGAGGCTGTCATGGTCAAAAATGGAGTTGGGGGGGGGGCTGTGCACGTTTTCACTGGCAGAGCCTTCTCTCTTCAATGGAGAGAAAAGGTTGCGGGGTGGGGGGAAGGAAAGTGAATTCACTACCAAGTGTGCTTCCTTGTATTTTTATTATTAGAATCATAACCACGGGGCTAACCAAACACTCTAAAGGTGTTAAAATTAGAACTAACACAGCAGAATTATTCCCAGAACTAAAGTGAAATATTCTAAATGCCTGTATCTCACTTGGGCTTTCTGTTTCAATGAAAACCCAATGTTGTACAAGTTCTCATATACGCAATCTGAGATGATAGAAAGCATTAGCCAAAAGAATAAAATGTTAACCACTGCTGGTTAAACTGAATATGTGCAAGAAAAGCAGCTGTGTTAACAACAAGCAGGCAAGGCCATGTAGCTGTTGCAATGCCACCAGAGAGTTTTAGAGAACTAGAGATAACAACACCACATATTTTGGTATCCAGACAACAGCCCCATTGTCTGAACTCTATGTAAAGACTTCAAGGAATTATCCGATAGGCTTGTAGCAAATGAATTACAAGAACTCATTCTCAGAAATTTAAACCCCAGATTATCATGTTTTGCTACAGTGGTTTCACAATCTGGCAGTAACTCAAGTCTGAAGAAAGAATGGGAGGGAGGGAAGACTAATAACAGGAAAACAAGGTTTGTTAAGCAAAGACACTTTAATGTTGAATGCATCTTTGGTGACCGTAACATGGTAACAATAAATACATTGGTTCAGAATAATTTCAGATGGGATATGAAATGTAAAGTCATGGCATGAGCTTCTAGACCATCATGGTGAAATCTGAATGTTATAGTGCAGTGATGGCTAACCTTTTTGTCATTGCATGCCAAAAGCGTGCACGCATGCACCTATAATGCAATGCATGTGCCCCTGCATACGTCCTGCCCCGTGCATGCATGCACAACCCCACATATGTGTTGCCACCCCCACATGCTCCACACGAACATGCATGTGCATCTGTCGCATGTAGCCTGCGCATGTGCCGCAGAGACCTGAAAACCAGCTGGCCAGTGGGAGATGCGTGCGCATGTGCGGTGGAGCTGTGCTGGGGTGACAGCTCGCATGCCCCAGAGCAGGATCTGTGTGCCACTTATGGCACGCGTACCATAGGTTTGCCATCACGGTTATAGTGAGAGAATTGTTGATCAAACTGTTCTNTTGTTGTATAACTGACATCAACCTATTTGCTAGTATTTTAGCAAACATTTTATAATCTGTATTAAGTAGTGATATAGGCCTATATTTTTTGGCTTAGTATGATCTTGATCTTCTTTCGGAATCAGGGAAATAAAGGCTGTTCTCAAAGATGGTGGTATCCTTCCTTCCAATTGAATTTTGTTAAATAGTTCCTTAAGAGGTTCTACCATTTCTAATTGTAAATTTTTATAATAAACCGCTGTCAATCCATTTGTACCAGGAGCCTTCCCAACCTTTAACTGCTTAATTACCAGGAGAATTTCCTCTGTGGTTATCGGTTGATTCAATCTTTCCCTTTGCTCATCTGTAACTATGGGGATCTTCTCTTTCTCCAAATATCTATCTATTTCTAAACCTTGTATTTTATCACCAGCGTACAGTCTCGTATAAAATTCTAAAAAAGACTTTTTAATCATATCCTGTTGATAGACTTCTTTACCTTTATATTCTATTTTCTCTATAGTATGAGACTTTTGTTTTTCCTTAACATATATGCTAATCATCTGCCTGGTTTATTTGCAAAGCTATGTCCGCTCCGGCGCTATGTCTGTGTCCCGCCTCTAATGGCGGACATAGTGCCGGAGCAGCCAAAAGCCTCTTTCTTGAAAGCGCCTTTTGCCTGCTGTCAAGAAAGAGGCTTTTGGCCACTTCAGTGCTATGTCTGCCATAGAGGTGGGATGCGGACATAGTGCCGGAGTAGACATAGCGCAGGAGCAGCCAAAACCCTCTTTCTTGAAAGCGCCTTTTGCCCGCTGTCAAGAAAGAGACTTTTGCCCTGCGAGGCGGGCAAAAGTCGAAAGAAAGCACCCACCGCTTCTGTCTGACAGAGGCGCCCCGCGCCCCGCAGCTATGTCCGACCCAGCTGCAGGGTGCGGGACGCCTCTATGTCAGACAGAAATGGCGGGGCGCTTTCTTTCGGCTTTTGCCCGCCCCGCAGGACAAAAGCCAGAAAAAAGTGCCCCACCGCTTCTGTCATATGCACTTTTTTTCAGCTTTTGCCCTGCGGGGCGGGCAAAGCAGAAAAAAAGCGCCCACCACTTCTGTCTGACATAGAGATGTCCTGCGCCCCACAGCTGGGTCGGGCATAGCTGCGGGGCAGGCAAAAGCCGCTTTCTTTCTTTTTGCCTCACCAGCCATAAATCTCATTGCACGTCACTGGTTATTTCATATCATATACAAGTATGCCATCCATATACAGTACAATTAAATCTTCCCATTTGAACACTCTACTAAAAGTAGTTTTCAAAAACTGGTACTTGATTAAATCCCTTTAAAACATTGATAGACTTCTAATGATCTAGCAGTAATACTCTAAATACCAAATATTCTGCGTGCTTTATCCTTACTTACCTCTTCTTTCATAGCTTTATAAATTTTCTTCATTTTTGCAATCTTCTGCCTAGCTTGATAAGAGCGGCGTTGTGACATTCTCTGGTCTGCCTTTGGTTCTTGTCTTGATAGGGAGGTGAAACCAGGTGGCATAGACCTAGAAAAGACCTTGTGTTTTGAATATTATTTTCACAGATCCTACAGTACAAATGCTACTATAGATGTGAAATGTCATTAAATATTAAAATAAATACTGTGAAAACTACTATTTTTTGCTCTGAAGCAGAGATATATATAGCGGTAGTCTTCAAAATAGTGAGCTTGGCCAGATGACTGAAATCCAAACCCACTTTATATACATGCAGTGCACATAACAAGGGTGTGACTTCAGTCACAAAATTGCACGTTTTGAAGCTAGTTAATGTCACCACAGACACCTCTGGAAGATCATGTTGCTAACTTATTTTTTTATTCCTATTAAGGAACATATGTGCAAATTTACATTGCTATTACCTTCTCATCTTTCACTTCTGGAAAGCATTGACTTAAGTGAATTAAATTTTCTAATAATATCCAAGGCACTATTTTTTCCCAAATGATACCTGTGAATTGGAAGATGACATGACTGATGAAAATGAAGAAATGGGAAAGCTTCACGGGGTGCTGTCTGAAGTCCTGAGCCCCAAACGCCGCACAAAGACCCAGGGAAGATGGAGAAGAAGACAGTAACCACAGAATGAACTACAGGGACTAGCTCAGAGGTCATCCTTGAGACCATCTACTCCCCTTTGGAGAGCATGGTGGCAGCAGCGGAGGCCGCAGAAGCTGACCATTGGCAGGGCACCCGACCCAAAGAGCCAGTGCCCTAGCAGATTGCTCAGCAGGATCCTTCCCTATGGGGCAAAGCCACAGGAGCTGTGGGGTCTCAGGAGTTAGCAGTCAGGGTGAGATGCTTTAGGAGCTCCAAATTACAATGGGCGCACACGAGTCTTCAAGTGGAAAACGAGACCTCTTGAACCCACCAATTTTAGGGAATGAGGTTTCCCGCTGCCGTTGCAGAGCCAGTTGCTAGCAGGTATTCCAGAACAGTTTGACCAATTCAGCATTGGCTCCCCTAAGAGGCTAGCCCGGTTGGGTCCTGGCCCAATCCATGTTCACCTTCCCGGATCGAGGAGTCGCAACCATCCAGAATGGAGCTTTGACATCATTTCACAGCACATAGCAGATTGCTCCTTATCCTCCCTTGCCGGTCCCAGTCCACTGGGATGACAGCTCCTGCGAGAATTGGCGCTGCACAGCAGCAAGGATCTCTATGCCAATGCAGCTCAGGATTGTGAGGGTGAACCATTGGGGCTCCCAAGACCCCCAAAAAACCCTTGCCAGTCAGCTGTCAGACTGCCTCCAGCTGACCAAATCTCCCCTGGCTGGGCCTTTTATCCGGCCAGGGGTGGGTGCAATACCAGTGGATGCCAGCTCCGGCCCCACCGTCTATACTGGCCTCACAGCCTGCACTGCTAGCGCCCCTCCCCCACAGTTCATGGCAACATTTGATGGAACCCTGGGTAAACTGGCCTATTTCATGAACTGGATTTAGTCCCATCTCAACGGTTATGGGGACTAGTACCAGACTGATTAAGATATAGTTTTGGCAATTGCTGACAATATGATGGAGGGAGAGGCAGCGGAGTGGATAGCCCAATTACACAATGAAGGGCCCCCAAAACTAGAAGATACTGACAAGTTTGTGCAATTGCACTGGGTCTGATTTGAAGATACAGTCCACAGAGAGGAAGCTGAAATTGAAATCAAAAGCCTGAAGGAAATGGGCCAACCCCCCAAAGAATTCATCTGGAAATTCTGAAGGGTGCCTGGAAAATTGAGAGACTGACCTGAACACCTCTTCATCTACCACTTCAAAGAAGTGCTGGACCAGGACCTCAGGTAAGCTTGCATCTATAGGGTAATTCTGGACTGCATATAGGACTGGTACCCGATGGCCATAGCCATGGACCTAGAGATCCATCTGTACCAGAAGCCCAACCTTGAGAAACCAGCTAAGAGGGCTCTAGGTCACTGATCCCCTGCAAAACTGGCTGAAGCACCACAACCGGCACTTCCGATGCAGCTGGCAAGGCCACTGAGCATCTGAGTGCCAGGCTCCAGCCCCAGTACCTCAATTCTGAAATCCATCAGCATCTCGGGGAAGGAAAACCCCAAGGAAGCCACCAGACAAAGGAAGAATCACCGAACAAACTGTTGAAGTTCCTCTCCTATCCAGTGGAAGGGAGGAAACTCCAGCTTCAGAGACCCCTCCAGGGTCCGCCAGTGGGAGCAGTGGGGAAGAGAATATAATGGTAAGTGAAGCCATCCACCCCTCTCCATTAAGTCCCATATAGTAGATGGTAAACTGGGCCCAGGGAGATTTAGAGGCTGTCATAGACACTGGCCAGGTGTCTGATCAGCTTCCCCATTGTCCAACAGCTAGGGATAAGCAGGAAACCCTTGGTACACCCCATATGCTTTGAGCAGGTCAATGGGACACTAATTGGTGGAGCCTCAGCCACTTTAGTCATGGAACTGGTTAAACAGGAGATGGGATGCCACCAGGAGCTTATATGTTTCGTAGAAGCCTCCAAAATGATTGAAGCAATCATATTAGGTCTCGCTTGGCTGGACAAATGGGGCCCAACTATCTCGTGGGAAGATGGCTCCCAAAAGCTAAGAATAGGTATTGGTCCATTGCCACCAATTCAGCGGGATAAATGCCAACAGGCACTGAACCCTGGCAGCCCCAGCCAGCTGGAAAACACTGCAGCCACCACAGATGGGCTCCCCGGCTGTTCTCAAGTGCCTAAGGAATATCGGGATATCACGGTCACCTTTAGCAAGCAGGACTGCAACTTCCTCCCTCCCCACCTCTCTACGGACTGCAATTGAGTTCATACTGGGAGCCAAGTTGCCAAAGCCAAAAATGTATTCCATGACCCCAAAAGAAATTGAGAAAATACACTGATGCCAATTTAGCTAGGGGCTTCATTCAACTACCCAAATCCAAAGTGACGACCCCCGTGTGTTCAAAGAGAAAAAAGACAGGGGGTGAGAAATTAATGCCATGTGCATGGAGAACACCAGCCCCCTCCCCTTAATGAAGGACATGCTAAATCACTTGGCAAAGGGCAAGGTGTTCACCAATCTGGACCTAAGAGAAACCTACTATCAGATAGATTAGGGAGGGGGATGAATGGAAGATTGTGTTCACCTGCCCACTAGGCAGCTTCCAATTTATGGTCATGCCATTTGGGCTCCATGGAGCCCCCGTCGTATTCATGCAGCTAATCAATGAGCTAATCATGAGCATCTCTACAAGGGGCCCTGGTTTACCTAGATGATATTCTTATATTTAGTGAAATGCTAGAAGCACACATTGAATTAGTACAGTAAGTACTGAAAAAACTCCTCACCATGAAGCTCTATGCGAAGCTCTCTAAATGTGAATTCCAAAAGACTTCCCTAGACTACCTGGACTAAGAGTGTCAAGTGAGGGGGTCAAGATGGATCCCAGGAAATTGAAAGTGGTGCTGGACTGGCAATTCCCACACAACCCCAAGCAGCTCCAGAGCTTCCTAGGGTTTGCAAACTTCTATAGGTAATGTATTCCAGCATTTGCAAAAGTAGCCATACCCCTAATGGAGCTACTGAAAACATCCCCCCCTTCTAAGCTGTGTCCAACCCAACCGCTGGCCTGGTCGCTAGGGTGCAATGGGCAAGACGGTGGGCAATATGGGAAAAGGAGGCTTATGCAGTCTGCTGGGCTCTCATCTCCTGGAAGCATTTCTCAGAAGGGAGCAAAGTGCAGTTTGAGGCTGATCATAAAAACCTGGAGGCCCTAAAAAAAACAAACCTGAAAACTTTCTCCCAAACAAGTCCACTGGGCACAGTATTTCAAACGGTTCAACTCTGAGCTAAAATGCATCGGGGGGGGGGGGGGGGGGACCTACTAGCAATGCACTATCCAGAAAGCCATAGTTCGAGAGTAGGAGGAAGGAAGTCATCCATGCAATCATTCCCCAACTTCAATCAGCAGGCAAATCACCACCAGGAACCAGACCAAATGCCAAAATGACCCCAGGGCAGGGCAGCTAACGGCTGAGCTAAAAGCCATACTCCCAGCCAATCAGTGGTTTAATGAAAACCAGGACATCCTGACCATAAGAGAGGAACTGGCTTGGAAGGTGTTCAAACTATATGTCCCTACCAGCTTGAGGCTGCAGGTCTTGCAGCGCAGCCATGCCTCCCAGCTGGCCAGTCACTTTGGCTTCTTAAAAACCCTCCACTTAGCCCGGAGGCAGTTCTGGTGCCTCCAGAACTATCATCTGCATGGAGTGCCTCGCCAAGTAGTCTCAGACAGAAGCGTTCAATTAACTGCCAAATTCTGGAGAGAATTTTTTAAAATATATTTTTATTGTTTTTATATTTATTTAAAACAGTGCAGCACAGTGAAGTCGTAATGACCATACAATCACATTATATACAAATAATCTTGTCCAATAACTATTAGCCTACTTCCGGGATGACAAACCTATGGCACATGTGCCACAGGTAGCACGTGGAGCCATTTTTCAGGGCATGTGAGGTGTTGCCTGTCAGCTGGCCAACGTGCATGCGGGGCGGGACTGCTTCCGGGGCGGGACTGCTTCCGGGGCGGGACTGC